ACCCCAAAGACCCCGTTGTTGCAAGCCACTATCACTATCGGCTTCCATAGCGTGTTCGAGCCGCTTGAGATGTTGCGTATTCCAACTGGGGTAATTCGAACTGTCTCGTTCATGACTTCGTTGAGTGGAGGAGGCATTGCTGGAGGGCCCGCCGTGCTGTGGACCTTCCTTCCAACAGTACCACCAGCTGCTACTCTGACATCCCCGTGGGCTGACCCCAGGCTTGGGCCGAAGTCGCCGAGCGCGAATGCGCGCACTTCGCTTGCGAGGGAGAACATATTCCGTCCTCGCACCCTCTTTCTCCTCATCCTTGTTGCCCCCGCTCTCTCTATTTCTTCCCTCCTCCTCCTCATCCCCCATATTCCTCCCAATCCCCCTCCTACTCCTCCTCGTCCTCTCCCCCCTCCTCGCTCTCCTCATCCTCCTCTTTACCTTCTCTTCCTCCCCCCCTTCCGTATTTCCTCCTACGCCATCATCCCTGCTCTCATCTTCCCCCCCTTTTCAGACGGAATCCGCGACATTTTGGACACGCAGCTGGGTCCGAACCAGATCGCCATGACCCCGGACGGCTGCAAACCCGAGCACAACAGCGGCATGTTGCTGTTCCGGCCACCCGGGAGCCCCAATCCGCCCGGGAGGACGATTGTCTTTTTCCCAACTCTCTTGTGGTGTTGGTTCTTCGTTTTGAAGAGAGGGTCCCCGCGTTCCTTTCCTCTTCTCCTCCTCCCCCTCCTCCTCTCCACCGCCCGCATGCTTCCCCCAAACCCATTTCGGCACATCCCTTCACACGCTTCGTGGCCCCATAGGAAGCTCGACCGAAGTCCCCAGTGGCATGTTCACATACCCAGTACAGCGCTTCGAGAGCCCATAGGGAACTCCACCGAAGCCCCCAGTGGTACCGCCCACATGCGTCCCCCATATCCAATTTGGCATTTTCACCCACCCAGTACAGCGCTTCGTGGCCCCATAGGGAGCCCCACCGAAGCCCCCAGTGGGGCCGCCCGCATGCGTCCCCCACACCCGATTTGGCTTTGTCACCCACCCAGTACAGCGCTCCGTGGCCCCATAGGGAGCTCCACCGAAGCCCCCAATGGGACCGCCCGCATGCGTCCACCACACCCAATTTGGCAGTGTCACCCGCCCAGTACAGCGCTTGGTGGCCCCATAGGGAGCTCCACCGAAACCCCCAGTGGTACCGCCCACATGCGTCCCCCACAGGGAGCTCCACCGAAGCCTCCACTGTGACGCCCGCATGCGTCCCCCACACCCGATTTGGCATTTTCACCGGCCCAGTACAGCGCTTCCTGGCCCCATAGGGAGCCCCACCTAAGCCCCCGGTGGGGCCGCCCGCATGCGTCCGCCACACCCGATTTGGCTTTGTCACCCACCCTTTACAACGCTTCGCGGCCCCATGGGGAGCTCCACCGAAGCCCCCAATGGGACCGCCCGCATGCGTCCCACACGCCGAATCTGGTATTTTCACCCACCCAGTGCAGCGCTTCGTGGCCTCGTAGGGAGCTTCACCGACGGCCCCAGTGCTACCGCCCGCACGCGTCCCCCCCCCGCCCAGCGCAGCGCTTCGTGGCCGAATAGGGAGCTTCACCGAAGAAGATACTCACAACTGCGGCACCCACAACTTCATATGGTTGGGCCCTTCGCCAGGATAATTTATCGTTCGGGGGCGCCAGTGGCAGTCCGCGCGGCGAGCTGCCGCTTGCACCTCGCTATTGTTGCTGTGGTCTTGCGCAATGCGGAAAATCATAGGGAAACGAACTAACGAGGAGAAGCATGCAGAAGAGCAGTAGGGGATGATCCTCATTTCCTGTTCCTCCTGCCTGTCCCTATCCCTCCTCTCATCATCCCCTGTTCTCCTCCTGTTTCCCTTCGCATTCCTCCGTCAACGTGCCTTCTCTCCTCATCATCATCCTTCTTATCATCTTCCCCTTTTTTTCCTAGATCTAAACAGCATAAGGGTGGCTTGTGGCTTGGATGTTCTTGTTCGGCAAGCAAAAATGCAGCAACGTCATGTACGAAGCGCACGCTCGGCCAACGCTCCCGCGTCCAGAAGCGAGGCGACGCGAGGCGGGCCCTTGCCCCTTCCTCCTTAGTCCAAATCATTTCGCTGCTCAGTCCTCCATTTCTCCATATCCTTCCTCCTGTTATGACTCCTCTCCTTTCTTACATCCTGGTTAGATTGCCTCCGCTTCGCTCACTTCATCCTGCTCCCGCTCGCTTCGGAGGAATAGGGGAGGCGAGGATGAGGAGGCGAGGGACAAGGGGGAAGGGGATGAGGAGCAAGGGAAGGAAAATAGCGATGAGGAGCAAGGGATTGAGAATGAAGTACAGAAGGAGGACGAGGAGAAGGAAGTGGGCAAGAGGACAAGAGCGGGTAGGTGCAGGGGGGAGTACGGGAAGGAGGAGTCATTCCAAACCTCCACCACCACCCCCTCTTGTAGGTAAGACCCAGAGGAGGATGTGTGGGGGGTACGGTAATGAGGAGGAGGGAGAGGGCAATGATGGGGCAGGTGCGAGAAGAAAAGGAATAGGAGAGGTGATACTTGTGTGGGGGAGATGGCAGAGGAAGAGGAGAATACTGGGAAGATGATCCAGGATACCTCAAGACTAACGTCCAGGCCTTCGTGAGCGCAATGGTACCTTAACCTAACTTTGAACCCCGTCCGACGAAACAAACGTAGAGACAGGACCACGTGGGGCAGGCCGCTGTTTGCCAAAGCTCCAGGCACCGTCCAGGGCCAGGGACCGGCTTGTCCTATAGGGGTCGCGGCCCTGCAAGAGCCAATGAAGTTTGCTCGAGTTGCTGTATAGCCACGAGGTGGCCTCTGAACGCTTCGAATTGCGCCTCCGCCGACCCCATGGACGGCCCAAGAAGGCCCTGAGAGGGCCTCAAGCCGCCCCCCAAAAAGTGCACGCACCAAAAACATAACTGGAGCAGCGGGAGGAGGAGGGAAAGCAGGAAGAGGGGTGGAAGGGAGATGGAAGGGGGATGCACTTCTTGCCACGATCCCCACACCGCTCCCCTCCTAAGGGGCCCCCCCTTTACGTAACATGAGCGAGTATAGCGCCTGTGCGAGTGGGGGGGGGAGCTAGATGCTCCCACGAGCATGGCAGCGGGGAGCCTGCAGGCTGTGAGATGGCGAGTGTGTCCCAAGATACGTGACGCATGACAGTACGGCTGAGAGGAGGAGAGGGAGACGAAGGAGGAGATGAGGATGGGGAACGCCTGCTCCCGCTGCCATCCTTGCTCATCACTCCCCCCACTCTCACACCCTCCTCCTTGTGTACATCCACCCTGGTTCCCTCTCCTTCCCCTACTCGCCCTCCGTCTCCTCCCCCTCTCATCTCATCCCTCTTCCCCGCTCATTCCCTCATCCCTCCTCCCCTGCCTCTCCCCCCCCATCTCCAATCCTCCAATCCTCCTCCTCTTCCTCTACAATTATTCAATATGAATACACTCTCCTCCATCCCCTGATGGCGTGCGGAAGATAGCGGGCACCCCTCCGCGTACTGTTTTTTACACTGGATTTCCCGGAGTTGGATTTTCGCTTGGGCTTGTTTTCAAAATGCTGCTCTCGCTGAGGCGCCGGCCTCATCTTCGGGCTTCCGCTCGTTCCGAATCGTGCTCCTGCTGCAGCGTGGGCCTCATTTTCGGATCGGTGTTTTGCCTCCGTCGTTCAGGATGGCGTTCTCGCCCCAGCGCGGGCCTCTTTCTCGCGCGCCCATCCGCCCGCCACCACCGCACCGCGCCCCGCCCCGCCCACCGCCACTTCACCCACCAACGCACGCACGCACGCACGCACGCGCACCACCACCGCGCACCGCCACCACCACCCCACTACCCCACCCACCATCACCACGCTACACCGCGTCACACCACATCATACGCGCGCGCACACAGACACACGCACGCACGCACGCACGCACGCACGCACGCACGCACGCACACACACACACACACACACACACACACGCGCGCGCACACACACACACACACACACACACACACACACACACACACACGCACACACGCACACACGCACACGCACACACACACACACACACACAGACCACCACCACCACCATCGCCACCACCACCACCACCACCGCCATCACACACGCACGCACCTGGCCCACCACCAAACCACCAAGACGCCACACCACGTCACACCACAGCACACGCGCACACACACGCACACACACACACACACATACACACCACCACCACCACAACCACAACCACAACCACGCACACACGCACGCACGCACGCGCACCACCACCCACTACGCACGCGCGCGCGGAGCCACAGGTCCGCTACGACACGCGTCCGCGGATAGAGAAAATCAGCGCCATGGTAAGGGATGGGAGGGAGGGGTAGGACGTCAGATATGACTCGAGCGCATATAGCTTGTCCCCCCCCCCCTCTCCCTCATCCCCCTCTTCCTCATCCGTGCTCCTCTACCTCCATCTCCTCAGCATCCGTCCCTCCCCCCACCACCCATCCCTCCTCTTCTCACCATGGTGATCATCGTCCCCCTCCTCCCTTGTCAGACCAGACGTCGGGGTCTTCTCCCGCCTGCTGCAGCAGATCTCCATGCATAGCGGCGGTCGCGAGGTCCTGGACCAGACTGTCATCAACCTGGAGTACAAAGGTTGCGTCTCCTAGAGAAGCAGGAGGAGAGGGAAAGGGAGAGAGACGAGGGGGGGTAAGCTAGCCTTCACATCCCTTCCTATTGCGCTGAGGGTTCTCTATCCGCGGACGCGTGCCATAGCCGGCCAGGAGCTCGAACGAGGACCCCAACGTGTTAGGCGCAATTGGAAAAGGGTGAGCTGCGAACATAGAAGGAGGAGGTGGTGGGTGAGCAGGGGTATGAACAGGAGGACGAACCGCAGCAGCATGAACCGGAGTGGAAAGAGTGGGAGGAGTAGGCGGACCAGGGGAAGGCGGAGGATGAAACACGGCTCGGATTCAGAACAGTGGCCCGCGCTGGGACGAGAGCGCCATTCTGAACGACGAAGGCACAGCGCCGATTCCAAAACGAGGCCCACGCTGCAGCGGGAGCACCATTTTGAAACACCGAACAGTCGGATCGCACAAACACATGAGAAGCATCACCTGTTGATATCCTGCGTGACAAAACGGTGTGGACCCGCTGGCGACGCCAGAGTTTCCGGGTCCCCCTCCTGCTCCTGATGTTGCCAGTGTTGCTGCCCCATCTCGGAGGCAACGTGGTGTCCCTCCACAAGAAGTACAACTGCATTGACTACTCAGCCGACTGGCGGTGCCCGCTGTCCTGCGGGACCCTTCGGGCGGCTGAAACAGGGGGGGATGAGGAGGAGGACTACGGCAGGTCCCGGGACGCACCGCCGTTGTTGCAACGTTCGATGAAAAAAAAAAAAACACAGCGCGTAAACATTCATTGTCGCAGCTCTGCGCGGGTTCGTTGGATCGGCGCTGGCACCCTTGGCGCCGCCTCCGGCTCGCTCTGGGGTCCAGCGCCGATTCGAAGAAAATCGAGCGAACCTCCGAAAGTTTATGTTTATGCCGTCTCTTCTTCGTCCAAGCACACCCACAAGCCCACACACGTTTAGCGTCGCGGCCACGCGCGCATGCGCAGCGTTGCCGTAGCCCAGCAGAAGGCGGAAGGAGCGCGGGCCAGCCCAGCTTACGCAGTGGGGGCATGCTGGGCCCGCTTGCCAGGAGCATCACGACATGATTCGCGAGGGGCCAGTCGAGAGGGGGGACAAAGAGTGGGCGGGAGAAGGGGAAAGAACAAGGGCATGGGGAAGGCAAGACCCAAGGGGTCGTGGTAGGAGACAGACATAGTTCTGGCAGGTGCAAGTGGGTCCAGAGGCAGACCGCGACAGTCGAGAAGCGAAGCGCAGTAACGGAACACACACACAAACACATTCTTGTATTAATCGGCGGATGATCGATGGGGGGTCACGCTCAAGGCAGATCACAGCGTCCATCTGACGAGGCGCAGCCGATCCGAATGCACCCGAAGACCGCGCACAAGCGGTAACGGGAGAAAAAAACAGGTGATGCAGGACGGTGAGATGGGCGGGGGAGGCCAGCGGCGGCAGACCGGCGGGAGACGAGAGAGGGGCCGGGAGGGGAAGGCGGAGGTTACCAAGCAGCGATTGGCCAGCGCGTTTGGCCAGAACCATCCGAAAGGGGAAGCCCACAAAGTCCCGAGCTGGCAAGCTGAGCAGGCGGGCGTAGGAGGAGAGGAGACGTCCGTGCTGCAACACACACACACACACGCACACTTTTTGCGTCGGCGGCTAGGCAGGATGACTGTGCTGGTGGAAAGGGCCGGTGTAGGGCATACTGATACGAATTAGGCCGCAATGCACGCGGGGAGGAGAAGGAGGCCTGGCGCGGGCGGGAGGGAGGAGAATCCGGGCCCACTCAGAGCAGGGCCAGGCCGCGGCGGGGGGGTCGCCGGGGCGGCGAAGAAGCAGCGGCCGCGAGGCAGCCGGGGGGGGCAGCCAGGAGGCGGATGAGCCAGGCGGCGGGGGTGGCAGGTCCAGCGCGAGCAGAAGACAGCGGGGCAGCCGTGGTGCCGAGGTCAGAGCGACCTCCAGGCGAACCCCTCGGCAACCAGAGAAGACCACCCCAGGAGGGGGCCGGGGGGCGCCGCGGAAGGAACCCAGCCGGGCGGAGCAAGAGAAAGCAAGACCGGCAGGGGCACCGAGATCCATGTGACCTGCGAGGCGCCCCGCGGGAGGCCAGCCGACGGCCACAGCAAGACGAGGAGCCGAAAGGTCCAGGGCGGAAGGAGTCAGCAGGGGTGGGCCCGAAGACCGACGATGCCGGTGAAGAGCTCCCAGCCCGGCCTGAAAACCAGGCAAAGGGGGGCGGCGGGGCCGGAGGCCGAGGACAGCCAGGCACCCAGAAGGCGAGGGAGAGGCCCGGAGGAACCGCGACGGCGCCGCGGAACCTCGGGACGGCGGGGGAGGCCACAGGCGAGAGCCCGCCCAAAAACCTGCAGCAGAAGGCAGGCGATCCGTCGTGCCGCGGCAGGGGATGCAGCGGCGAAGCAGGGGCCTCCTCCCAGAAGGGGGCGGGCTGCGCCGGGGCGACAGCCACATGGCGAAACGCAGGAAATGGGGTGCGCGGGAGCTGGAGGCAAGCAGCAAATCCAGCTCGCCAGGTACGGCCAACGCGGCGCCAGCAGGGCGGTGGCCAGAGTCGACCCAAGCGGCAGCGGGTGGGGCCGCCACGGGGGACTGGGAGGCACGTGTGGCTTCACCAGGGCAGAAGTTGCCCGCCGGTCGGTAGGCCAGGTACGGAAGGCGGAGTGGCGCCTAGGGCAACAGCGGAGGCGCCCACTGGAGGACACCGGCGGGCGCGGGCGGTAGCACCGTACGGTGCAGGAAGAGAGGCGGTAGGGGAAGGCACCGAACAGGTGCACGGGGGAACCGCCAACGAAGGCGCGGAGCCGCACCGTGGGGTGCACAGGGATGGCGTCCATCACGGGGGGGGGGGGCTCGCGGCAAAAGCACAGACCCAGGAGAGTCGCCCAGGCTGGGCGGGGGGTAGCACCGAACAAGTGCGCCAGCAGGTGTGGAGGCGACGAGAAAACCCGCGCGGGGGAGGCTGCCACTCATGTGGGGAGGCAGCGGGAGGTTGGCGCGGGGCCGCTCGGAACAGGTGCACGGAGGTCGCTGACGACTGCAGTCAGTCAGGCAGGGGGAGGCGGAAGGAACTGGAAGCAGCTCCAGCATGGGCGATGGCAACCTGGCCAGTGGGAGCCGCTACCAGTGGCGACTGAAGGAACCCGGGCAGCGCTGCCGGGCGGGGTCGTTGCTAGGCCAGGAGGAGTCGGCAGGCCGTTTGCCCTTGCCGTGGAGAAGGGGTCTTTTTCTTTTGTTGTTTCCGCTCTGGGAGCTGAGCCGCCTCTTGCCCATCTCCTGCTCCCATGAGGCGTGTCAGTCGACGCGGATATGCTTGTTGTAGCAGAGGGTGCGAATGTCGAAGTCGGCCTGGATGAGTTGGGAGACGAAGTCCTGGCAGAACTCCAGTGGTAGGCGGCTTGGGTCACTGGTGGACCCTGTCTGCCCTTGCCTGCGGTCGCAGATGGCGGTCCAGCCAATGGCCAACATGGGGTCACATTCCTTCTTGAGGCGGTTGACCACTTCGTGCCAGTTCTCCCGGCGCTGGGCGCTGTAGTTCCAGCATGGGTGCCAGGAGAAGGACTGGCGTGGTTTGTAGTACAGCCTTTCGTCGGGGTTCCACTGGGGAGTGTAGTTGCGAGGCACGCGCACACAATTTTGGCGTCGCGGCCACGCGCGCAGCAGCGCAGCGGAGTCGGGCTAAAGCCGAAGAAGAAGCGCGGGCTGAGGCCAGCTCACAGGCAGAACACACACGCACACGCACACACACACACACACACACACACACACACACACACACACGCGCGCACACACACACAAACACACACACACACACACACACTTTTGATCTGCGTGGCGAGAGCGAACCTCTTCCGCTAAAAGCTAGGCGGGCTACGCACAGCTTTAATTAGGGAGACAGGGCACAGGAAGGGCCTCAGGCGGCCGGAGCGGGCGGGGCCTGGGGAACACACACACACACACATACACACACGCACACACACACACACACACACACCTCCCGAGCCCCCTCCCCATGATCCAATACAAGAGTTCCTTGCCACTGCAGCGAGCGCCTGGTCGAAAGACGAGGGCCCAGAAAATGTGCCACCAGCTCAAGACAAGGGAGAGCTGATATGGTGATGCCCCGATGTTCACATGAGATGTTTGAGAGCCCAGGAGGTCCGACGAGGCAGAACCCGATGTTTCTGCAGCTGGGATTGGAGGACTGGAATGGTGAGAACTGTTTCAGGTCTGCTGCGGTCCTCATTGGCCAGACTAAAGTTCGACACCATGTCGAGGCGAAGCCGAAGAACAGTGAGATGGGGAGGTGAATCGCCCTCTTTCCGTTTAGCTGGTAGAATATGGAACAATGTCAGTGAATGCGTTCTTTCGAAAAGAATTCGCCCTCCATGCATGTAGCATGCGAAGGTGCCTGGCCAATTCAATGCAAGGAGGCCTCGAGCGACATCACGATGTATAAGAAGGAGCCGCCATCCATCCGCGCAGCTCTTCGCGGCCACCAAGGGAATGCGAATCGGCAGCTAGATTGCGACAACGACCCGCCCCACATCCGCGTAGCTGTAAATGGTGTGATTGCGTATCCGATGCATGCGGTTTACAGAACAATTCGGACGGTAGGACCCCACATGATCATTTTCTCGGCGCGTCTGGAAGTAATCATCATCGTCGTCCTTGCGATTGTGGATGCTATCTTCTTGTCGCCTCTGCACCGTTCTCGTCTAATCAGGGCGCGCATGCGGGCCCTGCCACTGGGGCCCTCGGTGGAGCTCCCTAGGGGGACACGAACCGTGCGAGGGGGCTGCCGCAGTGGGGAAGGCTCGAGACTTCCGTGCCATTCTCTCACGGGCGAGCGCCGAGACATGCTTTCAATGTGTTCAGGATCGAAGCTCTCGCTCGAGACCTTTTCCAGATAACTCCCAGGTGGCACTTAATATGTGTTTTCACATGGTAGGCCGATGGCCGCCTCGGATTCACAACTTGAGGCGCGGTGGGACTTCGGGAGAAGGCTCCCGCTCGAGACGTCCTCGCGATGCATTCACAGGTAAGGCCCCCGAGACAACCTCACGATTTGCGCAGGAACGAGGCTCCCGCTCGAGATTTCTTCCAAATTCAAGCTCCCAGGTGTCACCAAACCTTTGCCTGTACAAGATAGGCCCATGGCCACCGCGCATTCAAGAAATACTCCGACAGAAGGACCCCGCATGATAATCTCCCAAACATATATGAAAGTAATATTCATCGTCATCCTTGTGAATGCCGAGGTTCGCTTCCTGTTGTCTCATCGCCCTTCTCCTGGAAGGGCGCGCAAGTCAATTTTCCTCGGCGGGAGCAAACCGTTGGGACAATCCCGCAGGTCTCCAGCTAGTCGCGGCCGCGCTCAGGCGGGAGGCAGCGCGAAGCCGAGCTCTGCCGCGAGCTGCTCCGCCGCAGTCCTGGAACTCTCCGCTCACTCGTCGAACTGCCTGAGCGCCTTCCGCAGGGACGCCTGCGGCCCGCGCTCCAGGAACTCGCATGGGCGGCCAGAGGATCAGCCATGTTCCTCGCGCACGTGGCGCAGGAGAACATGACGTAGAGTTGCAGCCACCGCTGTTCGTCCGACATGCGCGTGCGACCAGCGCTCTCATCCCCTGGCACATTCGATGATGTGACGCCCCTGCGCAGCGTCTGACCTTGCGACAGCGTGGAGGTGAGATAGGACCCGTGCGTCTGGGTGAACCCCGAGCGGCACACGACGTGCGGCCCCGAGCTCTGCCACGTGAGCTTTTGCTCGCCGAGCTTGAACATGAGCAAGATCCTCGCCCGCGCCTTGGCCTCGCCGTCGTCCTCAACGCCCCCAGCGCCATGTAGCAGCAGCAAGGCGACCCCCATGTAGATCGGGGATGTTTCGAAGCCGCGCGCCTTCATCCAGGCTTCTTGCTGCAGGAAGTGGGGGCGAAAGAGATGGCCCGGCGCGCACTCCTCGTTTTCTTGCTCGTCGTCGTGGTGAAATTCGAAGGACACGATGCTGGCCCGTTTCTACTGCCAAAGCCCAAATTTCGCTTTCAGTTCCTCATGCACGGTGGTGAACCGAACCTCCACGCCGACGTGCGCCAGCGAAACGCCGTGAACTGCCACCACAGTATCGAAAGCGCCTGCTCTCCATCAGTGAAGCTGTTGCAGACGTTTAATACGAATGCGTGCGGCGCTAAAGTGAGAACCACATTATGAAAAAGAGCCGCGCCCCATCAATGAAATTGTTTTCACATGTTTCACACGAAAGCGCGCGGCGCTTAGGCGAGAGCCACATTCTAAAAAGAATCCGCTTTCCATCCGTGAGACTATTGCACGCATTTCCATATAGCAGAAAAACGAATACGCGCGACGCTGAGGGGATACATTCTGAAAAGGGTCCGCCCCCCATTCGTGAAACTCTGGCAAAGATCGACAACGAAAGTGCGAGGCGAGCAGACGAGAGCCACATGTTTGTCGAAAGAGGGGTATCATTCCAAGGGCGGAAGTGATGAGCGTTCGCCGGGAAAGGCGGAGGGCTCGACAAGTGGTTCTCAGGGTTCGGTACGTACACTAAGGAACCGACTTGCCAGCAGGCGCCCGCCAGATATGGTGATCGGGGGGCGACGAGTTGAAGAGGCGAGTGGCGAGGAGGATCGGGAGGCGAATTAAGGGTGAGAGGATGGAACTGGATGGGAAGCGTACCGAAAGGGGGAAGGATTAACAACAGCACCCTCTGCTCATCTCACAAATCCTCTTCCAGCTCGCCCTCATGCTCCTGCCCATGTGTTTCATCAGTTCGGCATGCCCCCCGCCCCCTCCTGAGGGTTCTGTCTCGTCCTTGGTACCATCGTCACGTTTTTCCTAGACTGATCGGCATGCCCTCATTCGTTCTCCTCGTTACCGCCTCTGCCTCCATTGTTCCTCCCCCATCGTCCTCCATCTACCTCCTCACATTGCTCACCTGTCTCATCATTATCATGTTCTTCCTCCGCACAAATCCCCCTACCTCACCCTTCCCTTCATAGTATGATTACAGTCCTCTTTTCGCTCCATTACCAAACCACTCACCCACCTCATCCGGCAGCCCCCGACATCGGCCATTCTTGTTCCCCCAGCCATGTTTCCCATCCCCCCTTTGCCCCCCCCCGTCCCCCCACGTTCTCCATGCCCATTTCCCTTACTCACCCCCTCCCCACATGTTCCTCAACGATCCACCCCTCATGTTTCCTCCCTCCCCTCGTCATTCCTCTCGCACGTCCCCCATGTCGTCCCTCGCTTCTTCCTGCGTCCCACCCATATTCATGCGTCCTCGTCGACTTATTCAATCCTGATCCTCCTCCACTTCACCCTCCCCTCCTCATCGTCATCCCGTGTGGCCGTGGAGCAGGCGAGAAGGAGGAGGCAAGAGAGTGCCCCACCCCCCCCCCCACCCCTCACCCTTTACCCTCCCACACCCCTGTTGATCCCACCCTTCCCCATCCCCCGTCCCCCATGTGCATCTCCCCCTCCTCCTCCCCACTGTGGTTTTCCGTGGGCTCTCAGGAACGACACCGTGATCGCCCATTTCACGGGAACGCCCAAGCCCACCAGGCGGCAACGGATGACGTGGGGCAGCAGGACGAAGAGGAGGGAGGACGATGAGGATGAGGGCGGGGTGAAAGAGACAACAGGAAGGAGGAGGAGGGATGGTGGAGCGGAGTGTGAGGGAGGGCAAGGGGGAGGTGGGGGACAGGGGCCTTATCCCACGCCCCACTTCCGAAGAATCCATCTTGTCAATTGCCCCCTTGATGCCTCCCATGCCCATCCATCCTCCCTCTTCCTCACCTCCCCCGCTGGCTCATCCTCCTCCCCTCCCTCTCTACCCCCCTATGGCTTTGTTTCCCCCCACATTACATGCCATCAGTTCCCTACCCCTTCTCATCACCCTCATCCTTTCCAAGTTCATGGCTTGATTGCCTCCTGGTGCAGGCAGAGCCCGATCAATCTGGAGTGGGTGCGCTCTCTGAACGGGAGTGCCCGCTGTGTCCACACCAATCGCGGCTGCTGCGGCTTTTGGCCGCAGTTCTTCTGCGACATGAAGAGGAGCCTTGTCCGCACCCTCAGCCTGATTCTCCCACGCCTTATCCACGCAGCCCCTTTCTCTGTCCACTGTTGCATCATCCTTGCAGCTGTTCTGGAAGAGTGCTTGCGCCAAGGGGTTCTCACTGCCTTCGTGGCCCGGTGCCCGCCCGTCTCCGCTTCGTGCCCGCCCCGCGCGCCTGCACGCAGCTCCCGGGTGTTCGCTCGGTGCCCGCCCGTGGCCCGCCCCGTGCGCGTGCCCAGGTTTCCGAGGTGTTCGCCCCGTGCCCGCCTGCGCACCCGCCGCGTGCACGTGCTTGGCCATGCTTGGGCGTTCGCTCGGTGCCTGCCCGTGCCCGCAACGACCACAGCAGCCACAATCACAACCACAGCAGCAACAATCAGTGTAAGATTGGTCGCTCTGATCTGCGCGCGTGTCGTTCAAGCTGGTATGTCCCACATCCTCGATGACGCCCCCTTCGTCTTTGATCGTACCCCCCTGGGGGTATATCTTTCTTAGTATTTCATGCAGCACCTACGGCAGGGTAAAAAAGGACGGATAGAAGAAAGGGACAAAGGGGAGGAAGGAGGATGGAGCACGAGAGATAGAGAGAGAGTAGCAGGAGGGGGGTTAGGAGCAGAAAACACGTGGCAGAACCAGACGAGCAGATCAGGCGGGTAGACCCTAACAGGCGGGTCGGGAAACTGGGCCCAGGCGGCCAGGTCGAGCAGGCGGGTTGTTGAAGCGTGCGCCCTGCATAAATCGCGAGTCGCGAGCGATAGCGCGATTCCCAAGTAAATCGTGAGATTGGCCAAAGCGAGAGCGTGATTCCTGAGTGTCGAGGGCGCGGCGTTTGAATGAATTGCGAAAAGGTCCCAGGCGAGAGCGCGATGTATGCATAAATTGTGAGGACGTCCCGCGCGAGAGCGCGATTTAGAATGGAAATGAAGTGTGAGGAAATATCAGGCGGGAGCCGTTGTTGTAACTCGGGGGCCAGGGGATTCTGAGCCCGAAGATGTTCCGTGATTAAAAACATGGTGCGAGTCCTAGGAATGGCACTTCAATTGGAAAATGCAATCAACAACATCCCAGTCAACAACAACAAACATAACCGAGGCAGCGGAATCCCACTTCAGCCATGCACCCGGGGAATGTGTACGACCGGTCAGCCCTTTCATGCTGGATTATATATATATATATATATATATATATATATATATATATATATGTATACACACGGACAGACCCCCCCCCAGGCCTGGGGGCGGCCACTCCGCAACCATCCAGGAACACTTCGTGTTACCCTTTTCGCTTCGCTTCCCAGAAGCGGCCCAGGGAGGCCAAGAGGGCCCCAAGACGGGACAAGTTGGCCCCAGAAAGCTCCCAATAGGGTCTGAGAGGCTTCCAAGACAGCCCAAGAGCGCAGAGGGACCCAAGATTCTCCAAGAGGGCCCTAAAACGGCCCAAGATGCGCCCAAGATCGCCCAAGAGGGCTTCAAGCCGGCCCCAAGAGAGGCCCAAGAGGGGGAACACGAATCGACAATCAAAGTTTTCCGCCCCAAGAGGCCCCCAGGAGGCCCCAAGAGGTCCCCAATAGAGCCCCAGAGGCCCCCCAGAGGCCCAAAAAGAGGCCCCCAGGAGGCCTCCAAAACGGCCTCTGAGAGGCCCCCGAGAGGCCTCCCACGATTGCCACACGAATTTCCAAGAGGCCTCTAACCCACAACCCAGGCACGGTAGCGGGATGGGCACAGTGGCGGGATGGGCCGAAGGCCACTAGACGGCCCAAGACGCCCGAGACGGCCTCCAGACGGTCCAAGTGGCCCCCAAGATACCCAAGAGGCCTCCAAAATCCGTAGCCATTTTGGCTCAAGACATTGTGGCAAGTCCTCAGGCATTTGGAACATTTGGTTTGTGCCTATTGCCGCCAAACCCTTGTTACTCCGCCGTTGCCGCAATGAACGTCGTGGTGCTAGGAGCGTTCGCCATCCTGCTCGTCGGCCACGGCTGCGTCGCCGCCGACGACCTAGCCAAGACTTTGGAGGAGCGCCGCCTGATGGAGGACGACTCGCACAAATGCGACGCCACGAGCGAGGCCGACGGCGTGGGGCTGCTCCAGTCACGGACGTCGGGCCCCAGCCAACCGCAAATCGCGAACATTCCGAAGGACGAAACGCAGGACCACAAACAATACGAGGAGGCGAGAGTGGAGGATGTACCGATCGATGTCCGGAACCTCAACTCTACCATTCATCGCCAGCATGAACTTCCTGACGATGTTCATCTCCTTTCCGCTGGTTGCAATGGCGAATGCCCTCAGCCAAACACCTACTGCTGCATTTGGGATCGTGCAGAGCTTCAAACTTGCTGCGTTGAGGGGAAAATTGTTCCAGGATATCGTTGCCCACGTGGAGAGTTCAGCACCTGCACAAGGGGGTATTGCTGTGCTGGAAACAGCTTTTGTGAACCGTGCTAGCTCTGTGGTTCTCTCTGCCCCAGTCGTTTCAACGTCCTGCCCGTTCGCGCGGTAACCTGCGCGCTTGCTTTTTGTTCCCCCCTCACCTCCTTGCGCGAGCCGCCGGGTGGGCTCATTGCAAATGTTGTCGACGGATCGCGCCTCATCGCCGATCTGGATGCTCGGATGCTGCCCCGCCCCGCGGGCGAGCCGCCAAGACGCCGCTCTCTCTCTCTCTCTCTCTCTCTCTCTCTCTCTCTCTCTCTCTCTCTCTCTCTCTCTCTCTCTCTCTCTCTCTATTTTTCTCTCTTTCTCTCGATTTTCACCCCGTTCGGCTAGACGTTAGGCGGGCAATGCCCGCCTCGCCCCGTGGTAGCGCGGGGTCAAAAGATGACAACAAAAAAAAAACCCAAGAGGCCTCCAAAAGGTCTCCCAAGAGAGCCCGAAGAGGCCAAAAAACATGGATTCTCCTTGGTGGTTAAACAATGTTGGCGTTTCCGCTTGTTCCGCCTCCCATTGCAAGACGCCCCAAGAGGCCCCGAGGATCGACTCAAGAAGGCCCAATAGGCTTCAAAAGCGCCCCAAGACGGCCCCAAGACGGCTCCCAAACGGCCGAAGAGACGCCCAAGACGGCCCATTCCAACATGTCCCTTGTTGTTTCAAGCTCGCTGGCAGCTTGGCTACGTTTGCAGAAAAGGAAGGAAATATCACATGTCCTACTCCTCCTCTTTCTCCTCTTCCTTGTCCTCCTCCTCTGCGGCCTCCTCCTCCTCCTCAGCCTCCTCCGCGGCGAAGTGAAGGGCCCCCGAAGTGCCTGTGAGCCTGACTTAGGCCGCCGTGAGTGACCGTAGGAAGTTTTGGAAGCCATTTGGGCCGTCCTCGTGGACCCTGGAAGCCCCGGAGAAGAAGTAGCATAACATAGAGGTCCCCTAGAGTTCGACCACCCAGCGTAGCTAGAACTCGAGCGTGCGCTATGCGAATACTTATATAATAGATTACAGGGCACTTTATTATAACATAATATATTATAACACAATATGATACCGTAGCACGCCGCAATTTCGGATAAGAGTGAGGGGGCGGGCGCGGGCGACGCGGGCGTCGAGCCGGCGGACCTCGTGGCCCTCACCTTCCCTGTCGATGGCGCCTTCCTCTTCCTCCTCATCCTCCTCTTCCTCCTCCTCCTCCTCCTCCTCCTCCTCCTGCTCCTCCTCCTCCTCTTCCTCGTCCGCATCCTCGTCCTCATCGTTCTACAACAGCCCCGCCGCAGGCGCCGATGTGTTGTTGTAGAGTGAACGTGGGCCGGATCTGGGGAATGGCACGAAGGCGCTTTCCCAAACCAATGCGAGCAAGCCCGCCGCAGGCGCCGATTTGCGTGCTCTGACAAGTTCAGCGCGGGGGGGATCGCTGGTGGGCCACCCGGAACGAATGCAAAAACAGCCCGCCGCAGACACCGAATGTTTGGTTTGTTCAGTGAACGTAGTTTGGGTCGCGGGTGGGTCGCGGGCTCTCTACCTCCACCTGGAAGGACTTCAAGAACAGCCCGCCGCAGGGGCCGAACATTTTGATTTGTACACTGAACGCGGTTTGGGTCGCAGGTTCTCCACCTGGAGCGAATGCAAAAGAAACCCGCCGCAGGCGCCGAACTTTTGGCTGGCTCATTGAACGTAGTTTGGGTCGCGGGTGGGTCGCGGGCTCTCAACCCCCACCTGGAAGGGATTCAAAAACAGTCCGCCACAGGCGCCGAACATTTTGATTTGTATACTGACCGCGGTTTGGGTCGCGGGTGGGTCGCAGGTTCTCCACTTGGAACGAATGCAAAAGAAACCCGCCGCAAGCGCCGAACATTTTGGGTGGGTCGCGGGGTGGGTCGCGGGTGGGTCGCGGGTGGGTCGCAGGTTCTCCACTTGGAACGAATGCAAAAGAAACCCGCCGCAGGCGCCGAAAATTTTGGGTGGGTCGCGGGGTGGGTCGCGGGTGGGTCGCAGCTGGGTCGCGGCTGGGTCGCGGCTGGGTCGCGGCTGGGTCGCGACTGGGTCGCGGGGTGGGTCGCAGGTGGGTCTCGGGTGGGTCGCCGGTGGGTCGCGGGTGGGTCGCCGGGGGGGTCTCGGGGTGGGTCGCGGGCGGGTCGCCGCGGGGTGGGTCGCCGGTGGGTCGCGGGTGGGTCGCGGATTGGGTCGCGGGGTGGGTCGCGGGTGGGTCGCGGGGTGGGTCGCGGGTAGGTCGCGGGTGGGTCGCGGATTGGGTCGCGGGTGGGTCGCGGGACGACGACAACATCAAACAACAAACAACAAGAATCCGCATCGCTGACTTCCACTTCAGCCACGCACCCAGGGACGGTGAATGACCCTTCTGTTCAGCCCCATTCTGATAGATATTATAAGGCAATAACAGAACACATTATAGTATACCATACTAGAATACATTACATTAGAATTTAATATGTTAATGTAATATAATATTGTGTGGTGGTACTTGATATAATATCAGATAGTACAATATAGCACCGTAGAATCATTATAATAATGTAATGTAATATAATATAACGTGATACAATCTGATATATTAAAATATAACATACGAATATTTAATATATTCGATAGCGAAAATATTGTGGTATGGCATAATACCACATAAGATAAGATGTTTATGTGTGTGTCCATGCATTATAGATGTGTGTGTGTGCATGTACGTGCGTCTATGTTTGCCAGCATGGTCAAATTCCATGACCTGTTGCACTGTGGATGTGTAGGATGTGCAGTCGGATCTACGCGGTCGGATCCAGGCGGCGCGAACGAGGAGGTGTAAGCTATGTGGCGCAGCACACCTGGTGCAATATATGCGAGGTAAGGTTTGCGATGTAAGCTATGTGGCACAAAGTACATGATACATACGTAATACAATATATTTGCGACGAACCACGTGGTGCAGTCTATGTGGCGCAATTCATTTGGTGCAACCTACGCAGTGCACTATGTGTGGTGTGAGGTATGCGGCGTAAGCTATGTGGAGCAACCTACGTGGTGCAAGTTCTGATATGCGAACTGTGCGGTGCAAGCTAGGGGGGACACTCTATGTGGTATGAACTGTTCGGTATAAAATCGGAGGTAAACGTCCTGTGGCGTGAGCTATGTAGTGTACGCATCGTGCGCCCACGACGCGGCCACTGGCGGCAACGTGGCGAAACCTTAGCGGGACCGGCCACGAGACGGCCATTGGCGGCAACGTGGCGAAACCTCGACAGATCCACCCAGCGCACAAGGCGGCCACGGGCGGCAAGGTGGCGAAACCTCGCCAGCCCTTCCCAGCGCACGAGGCGGCCACGGGCGGCAAAGTGGCTAAACCTCGCCGGACCCACCCAGCGCACGAGGCGGCCACGGGCGGCAATGTGGAAGATCCTTATTGGATCCATCCAATTCCTTAAGGACATAAGGAAAATGTGGGGTGTGCGTGTCTATATATATATATATATATATATATATATATATGAGGAATAGACTGTTTCACTCATTGTAAGCAGCGTTTGGGGTATATGTGCCAAAATGTTCGTATACATGTGTATATATATACACATATGCACACACACTTCAGTCCATCAGTTGTGGCACATACAGCACCCATATAGAGAACAAGATCCCACTGTGTGGGCCCACGCTGGCAGACTTTTAACCTTTGCCATGATGCCCCCAGCCGTAATTACACCGATTTCTCATTTGCGCTGCAACGAATTAGCCTGGGCCGATATGGTGATCATTGATGTGCAGCGGTGCGCTGACAATGTCCTTTCCTCGCTTGTTCCTCTGTTAGTTTGGATCGCCATGGGTTAGGTTGATACTCGGCGGTGCCCGGAGCTACCGCCTTGGATTTTCCATTATCTCGTGGCCAGACGGAAGGGCTCCAGCAGGAGTTACCGAGTTTGGCTTTGACGCCTTGACACCGAAACGCTTTTTGCTCTGCGGTCCGAAGACCGGCCCTCCAGTTGCGGTCAGATGATTCGGTTCCGCCGTTAGGGTCCCACCAGTCGGGCCGTGATCGCGCATTCGATCACATTGGGTTAGACTCACAAGTCGATGGTGGTATTAGATTAGATCAGAAGGCACTACGTGAGAGCGGAAACAGGTGAAGTCGATTGGACAATACAGATGCCTGCGGCTAATCCATTACCGTGCCAGCGAAGCAGGCTGTGAGCGGACTCTTTGAGCACCGCCCGCAAGGCCATCACATATGGCACCCCATCGTCTCAACTTCTTGAGGAGCTCTCATGGAACTTGTTTGGGCAGTGTTGGGGATGTCCGTGGCTCATGGGGGGTAGTCTTGGGGCTCCCTTGAGGCTCTCTTGGGCTGTTTTGGGGCTCTCTTGGGCCGTCTTGGGGCCCTCGTGACCGTCTTGGGGTTTCCCTGGACCGTCGCGGGGCTGTCTTGTGGCCCTCTTATGCCATCTTGAAGCTGCCATGGGGCCGTCTTAGGCCGTATTGGGTCCCTCCAGAGGCCATCTTGGGCCAGTTTGCGGCTCTCTTAGGGCTGCCCTGGCCCGTCTAAGGGCCCTCTTGATGCTCTCAGTGGGTCCTTCTCGGGCCTTCGAAGACCGCAAGTGGGCCGAGCTTGGACTGCGGCGTGTGGAAAGCGAAAACATGTACAGAATAATGCCAGTCAATGTTTTTGCTTGTCTCTCGAGGGTTGCCTGGAGAGCGTGTTGGGGGTGTCTGGAGGCTTATTGGAGGCCTCTCGGCACTTCTTGTCCGCCTCTGAGGGGCTTTTGGGTGCGTCCTGAGGCCATCGTGGGCCATCTTGGCGGACTGGGTGTCTTGCCGGGGCGGTCTTAGAAGACATCTTGGGCATCCTCTTTAACGCCTCGGACAGCGCCAGGCAGGCGCCGCGGCGCCCAGGAAGTCTCGGGTGATGCATGCGACAGGCTGTGAGGAAAGGGCGGGGGCCCTGGCAGAAAGCTCTTGCTATCTACTACGGCTTCGAGTTCCGGGGGGCATGGTGGCGGATTTAGATTAGAGTGGATCGATTATTTGGGGTCAGCGCGTTGGAACCGTTATTAAGCCTCATCTGTTTTATCTTATGTATGAGATTCCCGTTCATATGTCGTTTCTCGTGATCTTTCCCCTCGTTCTTATCATTCAGCATCTGTTTCCCCAATTGCACCTAATGGTTCTCCCAATGTTTCTCGTCCTTCTCCGTCACTGCTCCGTTGTCCTTCTACGCCTCCCCACCTCGTGTGTTTCTCGCGCTCCTCACGGAGGAGCCTCCCACAGCTGAGCGTCCGCTTGCAGCACTCGCTGAACGAGACTGGCGACTGCCTAGTTGAGGGGACGGCGCTGTAGGCTTGCACCCGACTCGATCCAGAGTTCAAATGGATTTGCACCCAGGGCGCCGATTCAGGCCTGGAAAGGCTTCGGGTTGCACAAAGACCGCCCCCCCCCCCAGGCAAGTTGTCCGGGGTGGTCTCAACACCTCATCCCTGCGGCGCGGAGTGTCCCAATGGCGCCGCCGGAGGCGGCGCCAAGGTGTTGAGACCGTCCTTGACGAACTACTCGGGGAGCCTGCAGAGGCCAGCAGATGTTGCCTGAGGGGGGGCCGTCTGCACGCTGCCCGGACCCTGACCATTCAGGTCAGGTCTGATTCGTGGGTCCCGATGTCGATCCGATCCGGGTCACGCGAGTCCGATCTTGTATGCTTAGAGTCCGAGCAGGGTTACCTGCTGTGGGCACGTGTTGCCCGCGTCTCACCAGGCTTGTCAATAATTGTTTGCTCGCCTGCTAAGACACGCCTGAACTCCCAGGGCCCATTCTCCAGCAGCTCAGCCAAGGAACCCTGGAGTCGAAGGAGCCGAGGAAAAAGGAATCCAGTAATGGATGCAAATATGTGTGTCTTTGTGTAGACTGCTGCTACAATGACAGGGGCCAGACAAACACGGGACAGGGACAACTCGGAATCTGAGATTTTGGATGAGTTACAGCAGCGCTGCGCGCGCATTCGCAAAAGTAGCCGAGAGGGAAGTCGACGACGTGAGGAATTCAAAGGAATCGTTGGCGCTGAATGAGATCGTTGAGGGCGATTGGGAAACCGCACTTGCGCAGGCATCGGTAGCGGGGACGGGGCTTGAACACGGTGCGCAATAGGTTCGCAGTTCGGGCGCGGACCCGTCCAGGGCGGGGGGAAATGACATCTCGGTCGGGGCCGTCGTCGCCCATGTTGTCTTTGCCCCCCACCCAGGACGCGTGACGACGTGCAGGGCACCGCCGCAGGCAGATTTCAGACAAAGTCGGAGCCGGGATTCGGGGCGCGCCAAATTTCGTTAAGGGGCGTGTCTCAGGGAGTTCTGGCCAGATTCGAACATGGATGTTCTTTCCAATTGCTTCAACCATGTTTGGTGTTCCCATGATTGCCTGAGAGATGTTCACATAAATTCGGACGCGGCAATGGTGCGCGCCCCAGTTTCTGGTTTTGAGCGCTCTGAGAGTCATTTCCGCCACGGCGCATATCCTGCTTCGTGAAACCGATTGCACACAAGGCGTGATATGCAGCTTTTGCGGCGCCACCCGTGGATGGAAAATTCGCACACGGCTTCCATCCCGCACAAGTTCTGTACTTACCCCAATTTCGTATGAACGCCACGAGCGTTGATGATGGTGGTAATGATGACGGATGCCGGTGATGATGCCGACGATTATAATTAGCGAGTGCGATGGCAACGTTGAGGAAAACAATGACAATGATGACAATAATGACGGTGATGGCGACTACGATGTGGATGGTGATGAGGATGGCGATGGTAACGAATATAACGATGATGGCGATATCAAACACGCTGATCATTGTGACGTTGCTGCTGATGACGATTGCGATGATGATGATGATGATGATGATGATGATGGTGGTGGTGGTGGTGGTGGTGTTGGTGATGATGATGATGATGATAATGATGATGATGATGATGATGATGCTGATGATGATGATGATGATGGTGATGGTAGCGGTGGTAAGGATGATGATCACGAAGGTGACGATGATATGTGTGATGAAAAGTAGGGTGGTGATGGTGATGACGACGATCATCATGATTTTAGTCGTGCTGATCGTGATGATATTGTGATCATGTTGGTCATGGTGACGAGCGCGAGATTCGAGCGGATGCGGCACTTTCCCACGCCCGACCAGCCGACGCGTGCAGAGGCCCAGCTCCCCTTATTATGGAATCGTGGCCGGCAACCTTCCGGAAACCTTCCCGACCCCTGGCCAGGCTCACGGCAGGGAACGCCACCATGAACGCCACGACCGCGCGCTCATTTTTTGCACTGACAGCGCGCCGCCGATCGTAGGGTAAAACCCGAGTTGCAAGCGGGCGAGGCTCGCCCCGCTTGCCCAGGGGGGCACCTGCAGGACCGTCTGCGCCGCGAGGCCCAGCACCGCAAACCGCGGCGGACACCGCCGCCCAGCATAGGGAAGGGTGAACTGGCGGGGCCGCCTTCTCCCACCCACCCCCAAATGGGCCCCCGCCGCCCGCCCACGCCACCGGGATGGCCAGGCTTTTGGTCGGTGGGCCGTTGCGCCCTTCCCGCCTGATAGGCCTCCCTTGAAGCCCAGCGGTACACCAGAGACGGCCAGGTTGGGGAGGTTCATTTTGCAGCCACGACGCGTCGTTCGAGAAGGTTGGTCCGCCAATCGCCTGACCCATCGCCCCACATAAATCTTGGTACGTCGTCCAAAACACTACACACGCACTCCTGCACCCGAGCTCCTATGGAACGCTTTCGGAATCAAAAAAACACCCGTTTCGAGATGTTGTTGTGCAACCCGCCATGGATTTGGTTGTAGGCACAAGGAGCATCCGTCTCAGCTTTTTGACACATGGCTTCCATACAAAAAAATCAATGATTGAATTTGAACATTCATGGACCATTTTGCCTTCGACATTGGCTCCCCTTGTGCTTGCACACCCAAACACAATGCCGAAGACAGTTTCCAATGAATTGCAACGCCAATAAGTTCAAGCCTGATGCCTCATCTGAGAACAACTGATTTGGGAGGTTGGGAGCGTCGATACCCTGTGCATGCAGGCGAGAAACAAGAATATACTCCTAAATGAAAAACGTCAGAGGTGTTGGTGGTTTTCTCTGGGAATGACGTCCTCCTTCTCGTCCTTCTGCATTCGAAACGCCGTGACGTACAGTGCATGTGGCTTCGGATGTTAGAACCCACTGTCGTAAACTGAGCGCTTGCAGCACTCAAAAGTGCAAAACGATTAGTTTACATTGTTGGTTTGGTTCCGGAGGTTTGGAAACAAACTAGGACTGTGAAACGACGCAGGTCCTGCAACACTATTATTTATCGTGTTTGTTTTCGGAAGTTGGAAAACTATTATGACCCACAGCGTCTTCGGGCATCTGAATTGTTCAAACACGCTATGGTTTACAATGTCGCTTCCAAACCTCCTAACAATCCTGAGTCCTAGAAGCGATGTAGTTTACAATTGAATTTCGCCATTCGATCCCGAAAACAAGAGCAACTCACAGCGTATTGGAGCCCTGAACGCCGAAGGACGAAGAGGAGGAGTTCAATCGCAAAGAAGCATCCAGAAGCCTAGTTTCTCTTGTTCCCCGCCAGAACAGGATGCTTCCATCTAAAAGCTTTAGGTTCTTGTTGGTTCTCATCGAAAACAAGTGTGCAAGTTGTCTTCGACATTGCGTTTGGCTGTGCATGTATAGGGAAACTCAACGTTGAAAACAAATTGCCCATCCCGCTTTCCATGGAAATCGTCGGAGCTCTACGTTTAAGGAACAATGTGTTTGAAGGTTTGGAAATGCGATTCCTTATGCCTGCGCAGCCAAAGCAAAGGCGGAATTCATACAGAAAACAAGAAGATGTGAAAGTTACAACGTTGTACGGGGGTTCTGAAGCATGTCGTAACTTCCCGATTGTTTCCGTTCAGTAGGTTTTGTCTTGGAGTGTTCCCGGATCGCCCAGCCAGTGCCAGGGGGCAGTGTTGCGGTGAGAACGAATGCTGCCCAAGGGGCCCGCACGTCGAGACATTGGCAACATGTTGAGGTGTTTCGGCCCGTTTCGCATGAGACACGCTTACCAGTCTGCTTTCCGAGACGACCAGATTTGACATGATCCAGCCTGTCTCGCTCGAGATATCTTCGCAACTCTGGGCTCCCAGACGCTACGCGAGAGGTGGTCTTGCCCATACCGCCTGAAACATCCTAAAATGTTTTGGGTTCCGGCATACTGTGACTTGAGGTTGCCTCGTCCGTCTCGCTTGAGATATGGTCGCTACGCTAAGCTTGAAGATGCAGCCCGCGAGGTGATCCAGTCAGTTTCGCCTAAGACGTTCCCGCCATTCTGAGTAAAGAATTGCCGCGTGCGAGGGGGTCCAGCCAGTTTCGCATGAGACGTCCCCGCAATTCCGAGCAACCGTTGAGGAGTGCGAAGCGAAGGAGGAGGGGGAGGAGGAGGAGGAGGAGCAGGATGACTCAGGACGAGGGGAGGAAGGATTATGCTCGTATTGCTTTCAGGCAAGTACTCTTGATTTCAATGCTCACCTGAGCCCGGGTGCCCAAGTCGCCCGGGACAGCTCCGGACGACCCCGGCAACCTTAACGGCGGTGTTTGGGAGGTGCCAGGGAGGGATTTGCCTTAAACAGAGCTGAGCGCGCCCAATGGTCCACAGAGAGCCATCCTCGGAACCTCGGGCTCCGAGATGACCTGACTTGATGTGCTCTGGCTCGTTTCGCTTGAGACGTTCTCACACCTCTGGATTCCAAGATTTGGTTCGCGAGGTACTCAGGCCCGTTTGTCTGAGACATCCTCGGAACCCCAGGCTTCGAGATGCCCTGAATTGAAGTGCTCTAGCCCGTTCAGCTTGAGACGTCCTCACCACGCTGGGTTTGAAGATATGGTTCCCGAGGTACTCAGGCATGGTTCGCCGTCCTTGGTTTTGACTGTTTGGCTTGAGACGTCCTCGCAACTCTGGGTTGAAGATGCGGCTTGCGAGGTGTTCAGGCCCGTTTCGCCTGAGACATCCTCGGAACCCCGGGCTCCGAGGTATTTTGATTCGAGGTTCTCTAGCCCGCTTGGCTTGAGAATTCCTCGCAATTCACACCTCTGGGTTCCTAGATGCGGCTCGCGACGTGCTCTGGCCCGTTTCGCCTGAGACACCCCCAAACATCTCGGTTCCAAGATGTGGTTCGCGATGTATTCAGGCCCGCTTGTCTGAGACATTCTCAGAACCCCAGGCTTCGAGATGCCCTGAATTGAGTTGTTCTTGCCCGTTTCGCTTGAGACGTTCTCGCAACTCTGTGTTCCAAGACGTGGTCCGCGAGGTGTTCAGGCCCGTTTTGCCTAAGACATCTTGGGAATCCTTGGCTCCGCGATGCCCTGTCTTGAGGTGACCCAGGTGTAAGTGCGCCACGCTTAAGGGCAACATTGACGAAATTGTTGTTGGGGGTGCCCCCGCTGCCGGGGGAAGTTAGGGACCAATAGAGGGTGACAGAGCAAACCAGAAGTTGTCATGTGTGTTGTGGACGTGTCGATGTGTGTATGTATATAGAGATGTGGATACACATGTGTATACAGTCCATATAGATGAAAATATACAGTCCATATAGGCCGAGCAGCCGGGCGCGGTCTTTTTCGACTTCGCGGTGGCTTTCCCGTCGCTGGCGCACGACTTGATGGAAGACGTGCTGGAATTCCTGGAGCTCCCGCTGCCGTTCCGGCTCTTCGTGTCCAATTTGTACTTCGGCAACGGATGCAAAATCTCAGCCGGCGGGGAGTTGCACGAGGGCTTCAGCATCCGGTCTGGGATCCGCCAAGGGTGCCCATTGTCACCGTTGCTCTT